CTGATAAATTTCGAGGATATATCTAAGAAAATTATAGTTTGAACTCCTAATATAAGCACTAATATTTAAACTTCTAACTTTTTCCCAGCGGCTTACCTCCACTTTATACATGGCAGTCTCATAGAAATTATTATGGCGAATTTGCTGTTCATAAAAATCGTTATGGTAATCAAGCACCTGTTAGTTTGGAAGAACTTAGACAAGAACGATACGGTTAGTTTATTTCTTTCTTCACAAAACAAGCAAGCAAATTTGTAAATATCAATTTTTCCTATTATTAATTGAACTTCTGTGTCACAGTTCATCTCAGTAGTTTTTCAATAATTCTGACATTAATGCAGTAATTCTCATAATTTACAGGACCTTTTTACAATGGAGTTTGGGGATTTAAAAATCATTCACCTTATTGGTTTGGATAAATGATTATGGATCGGCACAATCAGAATTTAATTTGCCTAACGACTTGTTAATAATAAATCTTTAATTTTTTTCCTTTATAATTCTTGATTTAATACATCATATAATCGTATTAAAAAATACTACATCACTTTGCATTACGTACATTCATTACGCTATGCATAATGTTCTGAAGAATCATCACCAGGCTGTTGATGCTGTACGAAAGGTAATTGTCGACCATGTATTGGACATTGTTGAATATTTGTTATTCTGGCATGTGATTCTGTTTTACCAGAAACAACAGTATTATTTGCTAATCCAATCCCAATATCACCACCAGTCGATATTGGTGACATCTGAATATTTATCCTCGATTTTTAACTAATTATAAAATTCATTCATATACTTTGCAACTTTTTTGCATGTATTTATATATAAAAAATGTTATTTACAATATTTATTTTACATACAAATTATAAAATTGATATGAAATAGATGAAAATAGTTTACGTAAAACTGCTGAGAAGTATGCGGTATCTGGTGATCATCATTTATACAACACCGGCATAATAAGCAACATATAATACGTGGTTCACCTGGATCTCTTATTTGTGGCTCTCGAATTGAGTACATGATAGAACCAGTAATTATTATCAGAAATGAGCCAATGTACAACCAATAAAACTAAAATTTAAAATTATCAAAACTCAATTAATGAAGATAAAATTTGCTCGTTATCATTCATATAAATGATCATATTGTTTTTTATCTACGAATTGATAACCATATCAATTATTAAATTATTGATTGAATCACATAAAACATTCTTAACATAACATTTGTGTTCAATTCAATTTATCACAACAACAAAAAGTTACTACTTTTTGAGATAAAAAGTTAATGAAAAAATACAAATATTTTTATTCATTAATTAATTTATTTATTTATTTAATTATTAATTTATTGATTAACTAACTTCATATTGAAAAAGCAATAAGCCGAAAAGAAGAGTATAAAAATCGGCAGTAAGTATTGATAAGTTGAACATAAGAGCAGAAGAATTTTGTACAACCACGCTGACCATTGAATAAAATAGAAACATACAGGCAGCAAACAGGAGGTATAACATCACAATAGTTCCTGACCAGTTAATTGATGCTAACTCATTATGTTCTAGCACTGCTCTATAATTATTTATTGTTATCATCTTATCACTACAATTATTATTACTATAATAATGTAGGATTTACTAATGCTAAGAGCAATGTAAATACAAAAATTCATCCTTATCAGTAAGTTTTTTCATGTATACAATGGGTATTGGTAAAATCAGACTTAAGCTTACAGTTGTATCCCTGAGATGATAGAGCCGAATAAACCAATCATACCAAGATATTCCACTCGATTATTTTGTTTTATCAAAAATTCTTCACTAATATTACCTACTGCATACAGCACAGAACCTGTCAAGCACAACACATCACCCAATACTCGATTTGAACCTGTTAAATCAAATATATTAACTTATGCATATAATAATCATGATTATTTACAATTTGATACAATTTGTACTATTTTATTAAAGCTGCTATCAAGTGTATAATTTTTATTTATCACACAACAAAAATTATATTTCCATGAGTTATACTGAATATTATGCACTAAACAATTACTCCTCAAATTATAACTAAATAAATTGATTATCAAAATTCTAGCGGTAGAAATAAGGTACCCAATGAAATCACTTCAGAAACAGGAAAAAATAATCAAAAGTATATTTATTTTACATTTTGTTTTGTTTATCATAAAATGCGAATTTTCAATGTGTTTGCATCTCAGATTTAAGCTCAATTTTTTGAATAAATATGTCATAAATTAGAATCAATTTTTTAAGAAAAAGAAAAAATGCATTATTGAAACATTTGTAAAAATGATAATTTTATTCTTCTTTACATGTTTTAAATTAAAAAAAATCAAACTGTGATTAGTTTCTTTTATATATTCAAACAAGACAACATCTTTTTTTCTTTTTGACAATGAATTCTTTGATTTTTACTACCTCCTATAGCACCTTTTCCTTCCAGAGCATCAGCCCATATCAGGACAGCAATCCCAATAAGGCACATTCCCACACCAATAATATGCGTCAAGAGGTAGCGGGTGGACAAAAATAACCACGACAAAAGCAACACTACTGGTATTGTTGAGCAATCCAACAACTGAATAAGTGATTTAATATCATTCTACTAGCAATAAAATATATATAATTAATTAGTCCCATAACTAAAAATTTATTAATATGCCATTTTAATAATTTCATCACATTTTCAGAATATGAACAATATTGCATTGTATGCTTATAAAGAAATAAAATTTGTAACATTAATGAAAATTATCGTAAACAACACTAAAATATTATTTGTACTAATGATAACATAGTATTATTTACAATATGATATATTAAGAGAATGTTAATTACTGAATTACCTGTATACTAGTCAAATTGGAAAATTGATAAGCATAAACAATGATATAATTAGCTTCAACGTCTACAACTGATAATAGCAAGTAATGCCATCCACGCTTCCTGAGCACTGTTAAAAATGAATTTTCACCTTTTCGAAATACCAGCATTGATCCATAAATAAATGATAGAAGGAAATAATTGAGAAAACTTTGAGCTAAAATTCATTTTTAATAAAACAAATAAAGCTATATTTGTTTTTTTAATTCATAACATTCATTTGCTCAGACAGTTCTGTTGCACTACGCTTAACACTACGATCACATTTTATAATCAACTAATTCAAATTCAATATACATAAAAGTAATCACTTTTAAACTTCTATCATTTATTGTAGTCTGATATGTTTCAGTACTAATGCTGCAAATAAGTAATTTCAGTCAGTAATGTGGAAAGCTATTGCTAATATGATTTGATGATAAGTTTCTTCTTCTTCAAAAAAAGCACATAGTGAGTGATTAACGCAAATAAGTATTTGTAAACAAACTGTACCTTAAATTCTGCACAACTTGTAAGTCTTTAAATAAGTTTATGATTAATATTTATTACCTGTTGGAGTGTTTACTTCTTTATTGCTCAACAACTGACTGCTAACTCCTGTACCACACAAACAAAGAGACAGAATTTGTCCATAAACGATATTTCGGAATGTTCGTCTTAATAATATTCAAATATATTATTCAATAATCAACAAATATTTATTTTGAGTAACAGCAAAAAAAATAATATATCTAGCTTAACTGTATCAAGCAATTATTTAAAAATTTGTCAAGACAAACTAAAATTTATGCAACTAAAATAAGTATAAACTTATTTATACCTAACAGCATCATTACTGCAACAAGGTGAACAATCAATTCCTTCTTCGTCATCTTGATATGATTGTACCGCTACACCTGTTGACTGTACAGGTGTTCTAACTGAGGTATCTATTTGTGACGATGCACTGCAACCTGGTCTGTCCATATAAAAATTAGTAATACTACCCACTGGTAATACACCGTTTGCTGGTAGAGTATTACTAAGGATTACTTTTGGTGTTGAAGGTTGTTGCGATGACATAAGAGCATAGTAATTCCTGCAAAAAACTATCAGTTCTTATCAAATCTTTTATTTCTTAATTTATATAAAAATTTTTGAAGCTTTCTCTTTTGTTGAAAATTGAAGAAAAAAAAGCATTTCTAACCACCAACATGTGTTTTCCTGTAACATTTTGTGGTGGTGAGCAAATACAAGCTAAAAGTTGTGAGAAGAGAAAAACTAAAGCAAAGACAAACGATAAAAATAGTTTGGAAGTTTTGCAGACAAACGTAAATTTTTTATGATGCAATACAATTCTCCCCTGATAACAATTATAAGCAGTCAACATTGTATTCTGATGATGATGCCAACTAACATTTACCTATCTTCACATCTATAGCATACATTTTTAGAAGTTGTACATTTTTTAAAATTTATAGCATAATTTTTATATTTTTGAATTATTTCAAATATATGAAAGATTTAGTTTTGTTATTGTGCACACTCTCTACGCTAATTCAAATAAATAAATAATTTGCATAATTTTGCATAAAGTTAAACAAATCAATAATTCTTTGCTAACTAAACAATATTAATAATTTTTCTTAATTTTGAGAGAAAAAAAGAAAGATCTTTAGAAATAATCAAAACTACCAAAAAACCTGCTACAAAAATGAAAAAATTTTCTGATCTGAACCTGGCTAAGCATTTTTCATACTTAGTAGACAAATTATTTCATTAAAATCTGTCTTGGTAGTCAATTTAAAAATTTTCCTTTTCAGTCTTTCTTTGCTCTCAATTTTCTTCTTGTTCTATGTCCTTTGATATGTAAATTGATAACACTGATAAAATGACTGATAACAAAATAAAATGTTCATGAAAGCAAATCATATTATTAAGCATTCATTTGCACAGCAAACAACATTTACTAGTATTTCAATTTTTTTGCAAGCATAAATTTGTGCTAAATGAATAAATCATAATATGAATTAACAAAAAAAAAATACTTGAATTATATCAAAGAAAGAAGTTATTGTCAAAGGTACTACTTGCTCACTGATATCTGTAAAACAACTTTGATTTGGATGAAAATGCGTAAAAATTAATCAAATAATACAACAAATATTAAAAATTATTCTACAAAAAACTTATCAAAAATCATCAATATATTTCAAAGTTATTACTGAATTCACACGTAAAACATTTTATATAAATAAATACGATAATTACTACGAATACACTAAATACATTTATTATTGTAATCAAAAGTAATTTTTGCTTTTTACTTAGATATACAAGTGAAAAGTACCTTTGACAATAACTTCTTCTGTGTTTTTCGCTGTAATTTTTTTATAAATACTAGCGCACTTCGTAGAAAGCAAGTTTTTTTGTGTAAAAAATAATTCATCACATAAAATTCAAGTTAAAATTTCTAGCATGTGTAGAAATGAAATGAGTACAATGTTTGATATTTAAATGTTTTTAAATAAGTTAAAAGCGACGTTTCGAATTACTGTTTGTTATTTCTCACAATTATAACACTTTTTGCTACAAAAATGTCTTCCAAAGTTTTTTTTTAAACTTGTACATAA